AAAAAGAAAGTGCAAAGTAAAAAAAAAAGTGAACAAGAATATTTTCATCAAATTAATGGAGAAAATGACCAAAAGAAATGGAAACAAAACAAAACAAAACAATTTTCGCAATTTTCATCTTTTCCTTCGCATCATAATTTACTTTCGGTGAAATGAAAAAGTATAACCGCAGTAAAATATGGGGTGTAATTATATTAATTGGTGGTCCATTTCTTTCATAAACTACAAAAATGATTAATAATTTGCATATGGTATAACAGGAACCATTTCAAATTTTCAAGCTTTATTTCATGCAATGATACGGATGATAATCCCATTTAGTTATCCAAAATATTACGTTATCTTTTGTAGTACCTTCAAATAAAATACATTGGGCTACACATTTTTGTAATGTGTAATTTCTCTAGCAGATGAAATTATTAAATTATTAATGTTTAATTAATGATTTGACCCATATGATCATTTAATTGCATAGGTAAATTTGATGCAGCAGAGGCGAACATTCTAAACCTTTCAGTTGTGGAAATATTCATAATATGAGATCAATTAAGTGCAGTTGAATTTGATTTCGAAACAAAAGCTATGAATAAATTCAGATATAAATTTGAATTCAAATCGATTTAACCATCACTTGACAAATCAATTTAAAATTTCATTCAGTTTTGAAGGCTGCGCTGTAAATCGCAGACGATATTATTCGATCCGACAGATGCATGAAGCCAATAACAGCGCCAGATGTTAGTCTTCTCGTATTTTGGTTCAGCAGAAAATCTGCTTACTGTTGCAATCGGTCATCTCGATTCCTATTTCAATTTCTGTTCTTGTTCTTATCACTCCATTTTTTTTAATATGCTATTAGACTTAGCTATCAAAGGCCTATTAATCCATTTTTCACTTTTCATCAAAATCTTCCACGTCAAACTTCAAGTTCCAAACTGTGCACTGACTTCCAATTTAAATTGGGACTCTGATTGACCGGATGTTACAAACTGATAGTTTGAAAATTTTAAAATTTATTTCGCAGTAGGATGCGATCTGATGATAAAAGCAAAGAATGATGATGTATGAAAATGAGGTAACCAGAGAATAACATTTTCAAAAAGCAAATAACATTATAGAAAAGGTTAGCGGAAAGAAAAAAGGAATTTGCAAATGAACTTGACCTTTTAAGTAACAGCACTTGCGTAAATTAATTGGGACCACACATCGCATATTAATTAGCTATAACAGTAAGCAAATTTTATAGGAAAATGAAATTAAGAACAAAAAATTGAACCGTTAGTTTACCCGATCGACAATAATGTAAGGAAATTGCTACAACAATATACAAAGCAAACTATAATAATATTGCAATCGCCATTAATAAAAGGAAAACTTAGTCACAGTGGACGAAAGTGTCCAGCGGTCAATCCTGCCGATTAGAGATGGGACGGACATCGCGGATGAAACGACCGCAACACCACCGCATTTCAACTCCTCCCCTCAACGACGTTTACGTCACCATCATCTCTCTATGCCACTCATCAATATTGTATGCAACATTAACATCCTAGTCTCGCACCAATGGTCAGCAGCTAGGAGGGTGTAGGAGAGGTCAAATGTCAATCCTTCGTGAAGACAATTACTATTGTAAACCCGTCAACGCCAAAAAACAGATAATTAATGCAAACTTAAATTAATATCTGAGAAATGGACTGATCAAGTGTCATACCCGAAATCTCATACTTAATAATGAATTCATTGCTTTCACTATATATTTGCGACAGTCAAATATAAATGTTTATTTCATATTAGCTATCAGTTAATTGACTAAAAATGAAATCACTACATCATTCCAAGTTTTTTTATTTGAAAAGATTAAAAATTGCTTCATGCAGTTTTGAGCATCTAATTTAATATATTCATTTCAGCTACTAATTTGAATGTTTCATTTAAAAACCGAATCAAAATGCAAATAAAAGTTTTGGATAAGAAATTGGCAATGTTTTTAGAGTTAAAACACAAAAGTAAAAGAGAATAATTCGTCGCTATTATTATTATTATTATTATTATTATTATTATTGGAATAACAGAGTACATCATAGGAATCGTAAATCATTACATATTATAATAAATCGTTTATCCATCTCAATTCCTAACTATATTTTTATTTCACCCATTTGTCATACACAAATTTTAATTATTTCCATCATTTCTTCTTGCTCTCTTTAGTTCATTAATTCATTCTATCTATAATATCTAATTAGTACAAATCACATTGCATGGCCAAAGAAACATGTAAAAATTCTGGAAATTTTTAAAATAATAATTAATTAGCTAAATATTTAGGCTGTGCTTTTAGCCTATTCACAAATTATATTACCACTAAGAAATTTTATCGGCTCATGTTTTATTTATTTTTTTGCGTATTAATTTTATTAATTTGCATGCTTGTTTGTCTCATTATTTGTTTATTATATATGATATTTTTTCCTTGTTTCAGTTATAAACCTATAAAAATCAACAATTACAAAAGCATGCCTCAAATCAAATTTAATGTTTTGAAAATTCTGCTAGTAAATTATAGTAATCAAAATTACAATATATTTGATTATTTATCAATGATTTGTGGACCAAATTTTTATTTATTGTTATGTAGTCAAAATTTCCAGTTATTCAATATATATCGGCTTCATTGTATTGTTAGCAATTAGATCATTCATGACGAACTAATTAAAATTGTGGAGAAAGGAAAAAAAATTTGCTGAAATTATAAAGTTTTATGAGAAATGACAAATTTCATACTATCAATAAAACTATAAAATATTCAATTCATTTGAGTGAAATGATTAAATTCATTAATTACCATTTACCATCGTAACCTTTGATTTACCCAACACACATTAGCAGATAATTTGTGGATAAGTGCGCTTTACTATGGTGATTTATAAGTTAGAAAGTATTATTAGAGAATAGAAAAGTAGGAAATTGACGAATTATAACTTTTCTGTCAATAAATAATAACAACAAATGATTTTCAAATTTGAGCAATCAGAGAAAAAGAAATTAACGAGAAATAATGAAAATAAACTTATTGTGAAATGCTAGAATGAAATAAATGAAATAAATGAAATGCAAATTCAGCAGAAAAATCTTCCCATTTTTGAAAATATGTATTTTTATAAGAAGAATTGCAATAAAAGATTTTTTTGATAAACCTTAGAAAAATGCAATTATTACTTTTAATATAATATTGATGATTATGTATATGTTTTATTGGAAAGCTTGAAAACATTTTAACTTGGTCAAATATAATTTTTGCAAAATTTCCAAATATCATGGAACAATAATTCAAGCAAATGTTGCATTTTGTAATTGATTACAGCATTATTCAATTTTAAAATTTTAGTCATGCAATGAAATTGGGTTTGTTAATATAATTTGAAAGAATAAGCTAATTTAATGGATTGAAACAAAGCCAATGAAGTTTTTAAGATAAGTAAATAAGAAGTTATTTGAAGCATAGAATTTGTGCGCATCCCTTTAAATAAATTTTTTCATTTTTTCCAGCTTTCGAAGAAATATTTTGCATACGAAATTTTTTTCTGAAAATTCTCAAATTCTTGTCGTAACTTTCTACGATTTTCATTACATTTATATTTCGTAATTTTGCTCATTGAAAAGGAATATCATTTCTCGAGTACTAAGCTATGATATTTCATTTACTTCACGAATTACTGTACTGGTAAAAACATATTGTCCGTTCCAAATTATAACTTAAAATACCAAACCAAATTTAATTATGAATTATCATTCTAACATAAAAGCATATATTTTCTTTAATCGCAAATATCAAATTCGAAAAATATTTATTATTCAAAATTTTCTTCCAAATTTTTGTTAGTAATTTTGATAATAAATACATATAATTTCAGATCTTCACATCAAAATACGTTAGTTGGACGTAAATGGAAGACTCAAGTAGAAATAATATGCGAGAAATATAGAAAATAATAGAACATAAGTCAGACTACCACTTGACCTATGACGTTGTTTTAATAACAGTCGAGAATATTTTATTCAAAATTTAAGGAATCTTGGAAAATCGAATAAATTTAATTTGAATAGAATTAATATTCAGTCAATGAAATGAAAATTGTTATAAAACGAAGTGATTAATGGAGAAAATGCTCATTGTAAGAAATAGTAAGCCGTGGTTGACACGATGGTTGACAAAACTATTCGATTCGTACGTTTTTGTTCATTTCATACTACTTTACTAAATGAAGAACTGATCATTATTTTCAAGTTATTCTTCCAGTTTATCTTCTGCTTATTAAATATTATTCATGAAATGTTAGCCACTTACTATTATTACTATTATCGTTATCATTATCGCTATCAGTGTTCCAAACATATTCATATTTTTATTGAAATTAACAAAATATTATCCATATCAGCTAATGCAGTTCAATTCGGTAACTTTGAAACATACTTTTAGTGTTTGTTACAATTCCATTGTAAAATTTGAAAAAAAAAAAACTATAGTAATTATTCTTCCCCTTCGATAGAATTAAATTTTTTCATTATTCCCATAAATAAAGCACATGTCTATGTTTGTTGCATATTTTATGCAATTCAAATTTTAGCAGAAAAAAATAGTATGAAGCGTAAAAAAATTCGTAATCAGTATCATTTGATAACTTAACAACATCATTTCAACGTGATGTTAAATACAACAATTAATAATTAATAATGTTATTAAAATTATGCAAATAATTAGACGAAAAAAGCATTGAATAAGAACAACATCTGTTAATCGCAACTAAACTTTTATTTTCCAATACTTTTTAAGATTTATTCAGCAAATTTCTTTTCAATAATATTTTCATATTAATTCCAATATGATGTTTTCTGATTTCCAGGCCGGACGATCTCGAACACATCTTTTGCTACGCTATATGTTCCGTGTAAAACCGTGCTTTTACTTTTTTGGATTTGAATGCGTCTTTGCAGTGTTAATGACAATTTTAATAATATTGCTCTACAAATTAATTGGCACAAAAACTGTAAGCAATTTAAACCAATTCAATTCAATTTTAATTTCTTTTTTATTAAAATTTAAAGTTCTTTTTTCAAGTTCATCAATTATCCAATTTTTTTCTCTTTTAACGCATCATGCATTAAACAATGAGTAGTTTGACCAATTATGCAAAAAAATGACATTAAAATAGTAAAAATTAAAAATGTATATTTTATTCCCCAAACAAAAATATCCATTTTAATGAAATTTACATTTATATTTTGCAAATATTTGACCAATTTTTTTGTATAAAATTAAATCAAATGCATTAAATTTTGTATAAATTAAGCAACAGTTTTTTAATAAATTAATGATTTTAATTTTATGTTACAATTTTTTTTTAATGATGGTTTTGTTAAAAATAAATTAAATGGTAATTTTAATTTGCTGTGTTATAATTTTCAGACAGAAATTGGACGTCTTATACAAGAGAATAAAATTTTGAATGAGAAGAAAAGTGTTGCACCATTTATTGAATGCGTTTATAAAAAATCACGGGAATATTCAACTGTTTGTATTTCTGTTCATTTATTGTAATATCATTCTTATTAGATAACGCTTAAATTTACTTTAATTACGTGAAATTATTTCCGTTACTTATTTATATTCATAAAATACACAAAATGCGACATATAGCTAATTATATAATACTATTTTATTCAAAATTTTCATATTTAATTCTAATGTTTTTTTCGAACAGCTGGCATATTCTTTAAATTTTCATTTCACAATTCAACATTTTTACAATTAAACTGTTACTTTGCGTGTTGCGGAATGGAAATGATGGAAACATGGAAATAATTAGAATGGCTTGAATTTTATTAGCTTAGTGAAAAAGAAGTTGTCATGGTGTGGATTAATTTCGATTGAAAATAACTCAATAAATTTAGGTTAGCTGCGGTGAAGATGACGATTCTTATGCTTTCATTTCACGATTTCATGAAAGTGTTTCAACAAATTTTCGATGTGTTGATCGTGTAGATGTGGTATGCGCACTTGCAAACGAGAATTAGCAATGAAAAATTTTAATTATTAAGCAAACTTTTAATTATTGATCAACAACAAACGAATAGATAGATAAAAAAAGAAGATAATCGATAAAAAAAATTAGAAAAATTGAGGTTTCTTTAATTATTGACAAACTAACATTAATAGTTTTTCCTCCTTTTTTTGTTTAAACTAAGAAAAGCAATCACATCAAATTTGACATTTGTTTGAGTCTATCAAACATTGCTATTAGTTTTCCTAAAAAACACAAAATATTCCCTTTGACCTCTTTCATTTCATTTCTTACCAATTGATAATCTTATCTGGCTAACATCTATTTTTTGATTTATGAACCAAAAATTGCTGCAAGCCAAAATGAACAGAAATAATTGACCAAAATGGCCAAAAAATAACTTCAAATAGTAAAAATTAAGAATATGATTATTTCCGCTGCAATGTAAAATTTTTGTCAATGAATAAATGTGAAAATTTTCAGTTGCCATGTTTATCAACTGATAATGTATTGTTATTTAACCATACAAGGCTGGAAAAATTTCCTCAGTGTGCAGGTCTAAATAATATAAGACTTAAGAACTCTATTACGCAATCGACTCCAATTGTGGTCAGTTTCTTATCAAAGATTATAACAATGATTAATATTAACAATACTAAAGTAATGAATATTTGAGTACTTGATGATTTTTTTAGAATCTAGTAATTTAAAATTAATATTTGATAAGGTTCAAGACGACATATTTTACAAAATAATTAATGCTAATTAATATATTTCTTATAACAATAAATATATTTGATAACGAAATAATTAGTTCAACTCAAAACGAAAAACAGAGATATATTAAAGTTTTAACTTTACATAATGTTTAAAGTAACAATAAAATTAAAAAGCTAATTAGAGAGCAATTAATATAAAAGAAGGATGAAATATAAATTGGATGAAATTTATTAACTTATGTTTTGCATATGTTTATGTTTATTTGATATTTGCTATCATTTTGTTCATACCAATCAATCATTTTATTAAAAGAAATCCGTAAAATTTTAGGCACCATCAATAAATATCACAGAATATCAGGGCAAAATACTTCGTCCAAAAGACTTTTTGGTAAAATGTCCCAAATGTGCTATCAAAAGTTTCTTTGGCTGGTTTGATTCCAATAAATTATCATAATTATTTCATTCACTTATTTCGAATTTATTTCCATTGATTGAATTTTCCTAATTTTAATTGTTTAAAAGTTTTCACATAGTGATAATTTGTAAAAGAAAAAAATCGCTCATTATAGTAGGATTTTTTGATATTTTTTAGTTGCCACTGACAAGTTATTGAATTAATTTAATGGAACAGCTGAAAAGGAACTTTCAAATCAGAATGATTTATGAGAAAAAGTTGAGAAATTCCATTTTTTATTTTAGAAATCCATAATTTAATCAAACGAAGAAAAGTATTTTTCCATTAGTTACTCGCAGTAATATCGTTTTACCATTTTCAATATAAATAAATTATAGTTGAAAGAAAAAAAAAATTAGGTTTATTTATATATTTCTTTTGGTTACAGGAGAGATACAGATGACGCTGAAGATAGACGTTGTGCACGTGAACTTAAAACGTATTCACTTGGTTGGCCACAACATGCACGTTTTTGTGATGAGGAAGACATGCATGATGAGCCAGATTTTTGCCGACTTCATGACTTACTTCTTGAAAAACTTGGCGGTGGAATGGAAGAAAGTAATGAATTAAATTTTGTTAATTCAGCCGATGAGAAGAAACCATTACGAGAACAAATGCAATTACCATAAAATCCCATTGAATTTTTTAATTTTATGTAACATTCTAAATTGTTAATTTTTCCATTTTTTTATAACGAAAAGTATTGAAATGATAATAATTGAATTAGTAATGCAAAATTATTACCTATTTAATTTTAGTCATATATCATTTTCAAAAAAAAAGGAAGAACAAGAAGATTAAAGGTGCTATAACATAAAAAAAGAAAATGTTCGCTATGATTCTTTTTTTCATTTCGTTCATTTCTTTTACACTTTCATAATTATTATTCACATACAATTTCCCTTTTTTCATTCCCTTCTTTTTTCAATATTTGTGTAAAATATATCATTTTGAATCAATAATTCTATGCTCTCACTGATAATTTTAGTTTTACGCATATAATGATTGATATTTCATTGACTGATATTTATTTTGATGCTGCAAAGGAATACAATTTCTAATTTGATTATTTATACTTCATTACAAATATTAGTAAGTAATATCCAACCTGATTATTTATGCTTCATTACAAACATTAGTAAGTAATAGCAGCAACGATAACAATAGCAATAATAGCATTACTATTATTCATGTGGCATGCTGAAATGTTTCCCTGCGTAATATTCTAAAATTATTCCCTTTACTTCACGTAATCAATTGACAGGGATGTCAGACAAGAGAGCACAGGAGGAGGTTCCATCAGGCCTAAAAGCAGTCTCATAGTCTTAGGCCCTTTTACTTGTAGTTGCTATTTTTGCCAATGGAATTTGGCATAATGCCTTTCCATTCATTCATTCCTTTTCATTTTTTTTTTACGTATGTGCGTATGTCCATGCATGTGTGCATGTGTGTATGTGTTGAAGTCAACAGAAGATTTTAAGCATCAAACTCTAAATGATAAGCAAAAGATTGATAAAATGAATTCATCTTTTCTTCAAAACTAAAATGTGACAGAAACTGCAAAAATATTTAATGGATTATTTATAATTTAATTGATAATTGACAAGACTAATTTATTTATATTATCCACAATTATCTTAATGTGAAAATTATTCAAGCATACAGACGCATATCATTCTTTTCTACTTATTTCATTAATCTCTTTACTTCATAACAATTATCATTACTTGTCGTGCATTATATCATATTACATTGATAAGCTGCATTATAAAATCTAATTAATGCTTATTTTAATCAGTAATTTTACTCTAAAAAATTAAACAAATAATTTATTTGCATTAATTCTATAAATGATATTGATTTTCTCAAAAGTAGTCAAACTGATATAACCCTTTTCTCTATTTAACTGAAAATAATTTTGCTTAAAGTAAAGAATCGGATATGTTATTACATTGGGATGAAATGAAAATGTTGCTTAGCGACGAGGCATTATATTTTCTTCCGTTCATAGAGCCTCGTTGACGTTAAATGCGTCAAGTTAATCAAAAATATTCATAAATATATTTTCATTCATATCGATTATCCAATAAATTTATTAAATTTTATCTTCTATACACATTTATTTTAAAATTTAGTGAATTCGCAAAATTAATAATTGATAACAATAATGTTGAACACAATAATACTAAAACAAATACTGATTAATGGTAGTAATGGTAACAACAATAATAATAATAATAGTAACAACAATATTACAATAATAATAATGATTAACAAAACAATAGAAAAACAATAACAAAACCATAACAAAACAATAATAATAATAATTAATAATAATAACAATAATAATAATAATAATAATCGAATATAATAATAACAATAATAATTCCTTTTATGCAAGATGAAATGAACTTTTCCAAAAAAACAAGTGTCTTTCCCATTACTATTGAATAATTTTTTAATGATATAATTTTTTAAGTTTAATTTTTTCTTAAATTATTTTTATTTTTACAAATCACGAACATAACATAAAAATGTGACATTGTCGAATTTTGGAATTCATTTCGCACTATTATCAGTGAATTATGAGATTCTTTTACATATTTATTAACTTCAGAATTGTAAGTTACACTTTTTTTACCTCTTTGTTGTTATAAGCCTTTATTGTTAATTAATTTGGATATGAATAAAATTCTTTAAATTTCGCCGCAAATTAAACATAATTTAGCCATTGTATAATCATAGTGTGACATTATCACCATTCGACCGTTGTAAAAATAGCACCTATTCTCTATCAATTTTAATTTTTAAAATTAAAAAATTTTTGAAGTCCATAGGCATAATTTGTTCCTATAATCCATAAGTATGACTTATTTTCACTACCATGACAATTAAAATGTAAACTTGAAGTAAATGAAGTGAGAAAATTTTTGCAATTACTAGGTGATAATGATGAAAGTGAACCGATCAACAAAAGGTGTTCAAGTGATAATTGTCACATTTTTATCAAAATTCCAGCATTTTATAATTCGACCAATATAATTCACACAACCAATATACTGTTTGTTATGGTTGACAGTGAACAAAATATATCAGTAATAGTGATAAGCGTCGTAGATGGACAATAAATTGCGATTGTTATCAGTAATATAGACTGATGAATGCTTTATGCGAGAGGTATCAATAATAATGTAAAGTAAGCTTACAGATGTTATTTATAAAATATGGGATGAAATTAGTGGTATAAGAAAGATAAATAAGTGAATATGTAAAAAAGGATAGAGTATGTAAGCTAATGAATTCATTAAAGGGAAGAATAATGAAGGGATAAATTTTAAATTTTGTAAACATTTTTACTACAGATTTCGGCCGAATTATTAGCTATTTAGTCGATATAAGTAAACAAACAAATTGAAAAAAAGTAGATTGAAAAGAAAAGAAAATGGGAGAAATAACTGAAAAGGAATGATAACATTGTTTTTGAAGTGTGAATGCTTTCTTAAAATTAAGACGATTCCAAATTTTTTTTTTCGATGGGAATCAAAATAAGTAAATTTGAAATTTCATATTATGAAAACTCGAATTACGACTATTAACTCATTTAAGCAGAATTAGCATAATTTCCAAATGCCTTTAGAAAACATATTTGTATGTTACAGATCATTTTTTATATGTCAAACAAAAAAGGAAATCTCATCTACAATTTGACCTTTTAATAAATTTTTATCAAATCTGGCATATTTTTATAGTAATTCTCCCAATATTTCTGAATATATTTTCTGACTTTTATAGCAAATTTTGTGTCACTTTAAGTAAATCAGGAATTTCTTGCAAAATCATTACTTTATTCCTTAACCTTTGTATGAAAATTGTTTATATCTGGCGAATTGATCCCAGCACCTATGTTATTTTTCCTTTTCAAAGAGAAAAAGCATCAATCGACTCACATTATCGCTGCAAAAAACACCTCATAGAAAGAATAAAAGTAAAAACTCCCTATCTTCAGAAATGATAAGCTAATCCAGCATTTGCGTAACAGAAATCAATCAAATTTGTAATTATTTGTCTTTTTTATATTAAGTTTCCAATGATAGTAGCGAAAAGATCTTGTATAAATTTGCTGCCTCAACTAGTGGACAGGATTAGCGTAAAGGAGTTTCAGCCCAGCATGAAAATGTTTATAAGAGATCACAAAAGTAATATAAACGATTGAGTGTGCATTTCTTTTTTAACTCCATATATTTAGTAAACTGATATGGTTCAAACAGTTACATAACAATAAGTTCTTCATAGCAAATAAAGAAAATACTATAAAACATTTGAACAAATTATATATCGGATTAACCGAAAGAAAATTGCCATTAGTTGAGATATTCAAATTTCACAATCTTTGTTTATGTTGTAGTAATCTCGGAAGAGATGGATCTTTTCATCATAGCATAATCTTTAATCCACCAATTCCTTTCGTTTTTCATATCACTAATGTCACTCATTTCAAACCTAATCGATGCTACTAATGGTACTCATTTCACAGTTTAACTATCGATGCTGAGCATTAACTGGCAGAGCCATGCACAAATATTGGAAAGTCATTAAAATTGCTACTAATAATGATTCGAGAGTATTTCCACATTCTGATGCAATTATTAACTGCTCAGTAGTTCATCTCGATCTTTACTCAACATCCTCTATTTCAAACCACATAAATAGTCTAGATTTTTATAAAGAGGAAGTTTTTTTTTCTTTTTTGCAGGGCAGTCTTCCAATCACTCTTCACATTCAGTTAACGGATTTGGATAGCTTAAGCTTTTTACGATCTTCACATCAATTATCGTCACCATCGTCTTTCACAATCCTACCTCATTCAACCATTTAGC